CGCTTGACGTGCTCAAAATTGGGGACATCTGTCCTTTGGTGTGATAAAAAGGTGTCGGCAGCATCTTAGTAGGGACACCTGTCAGTATAGTAGGGACACCTATCTTTTGTTTTGTCTTAAATGTGTCGGTAGACTAAGCTTGTACAAAATCAAAAAATCAACCAAATAAGCCAGTACACTGAAGGAAAGGTGCTGATATTCCAAATGTTTTTTGAAAAAGAAAAAAACATATTGTTGAATTACCTTATGAACCTGATTTCAATGAAAAATTTATTCCTACAAAATCTCGAGCAATTCAAATGAATAGTAGACTCTTGGAAATCTGTAAGAAAGAAATACAAGACATCATTGACAAAGAATTAATCAGAAACTCATATTCTCCTTGGAGTTGCTTGAAGTTTTGTTTTATCTTTAATTTCATAAGGAACATGTTGAGCAAAGCTTATTGCCTTGTCAATGGGAATAATTGATTGGTTCTGGATATTATGTCCTAAAAATTTGATTTTGGTTTGAAATAATTGGTTCTTTTTTTTGGACAGAACCAACCCTGCATTTTTTACTGCCTGCAAAAAGATTGAGTAAACGATTATTTCGACATCACAAGTTCCAAGATGATTGAAAGCCTCCACTGAACACCACATCTATCACGTCCACATTCTCATACTCCACCATTCTAGACACTTTTGGGAACTTAAACTTCAAAGGTCTATCTCCCAACCACCTATGATGCCAAATGGAGATATGCTCGTCATTTCCAATAATAAACCTAAGGTTCCTAAAAAACAAAGGCTAACAATGCCAAACCCCATCCAAATAAAAGACATTTTTTGAACACCTAGAATTCCGTAGAAGACGTAAAGATCTATCAAAACCGTATTTAGCCAACGACACATGTTTCCATGGTTGATCATGTCCTTGAGCACTCCTCTACCACCATTTTCTAAAAGAACTAATAACCTTCAATCTCCAAACTCCTTCCTTGGAGTACACACATTATCCTATCCATCTAAATGTAATTTATTATTATCTTGCTAACTGTTGTGCGCGTGGAATCTTTAAACCCGATGTGTTAATATTTGGCAAATAAAGTATGAGAAATAAAACATGAAATACACACCAGAAGAATACAAAGATTTATGTGGTTCACCCAATAGGGCTACATCCAGGGGTACGATAAATAGAAATCCACTATACCAATGAAAGTTACATCAAATATTTTGGAACAAACCTCGACAAAAACCTTAATCGAGCAAACTCTTTGAACTTGCTCTCCCAAACAGCACCATGCCGATCTCTCATCTCTATTCTATAAGTAGACCACTGTCTAGAAAGAGAACAACTTTAAGAGCAAACGAGATTTTATCTCACTAAAATATAAAACAACCCAAAATCTCCATGGGAACCGCTTCTTTACAAGAAACCAACCTTTTACTCTATAGGAGTCTTCATGGGGCATCATCAATGTTTCGCTTCATATGAAGCTCTCCTCTATCTATGAGAAAATTGCATCTTATGCACAGGAGGCTCTAACTCTCTCTTTAGAAAAACCATCATTCCTCTATGGTGATCCAAATAAGGCACATGAATTCTCTATACGTTCATCCCATATATATAAGATTAAGAGTCTATAGTCAATAATAACCTTCTTATTGATACTACATATATCTCAAAACCACGAGATAAATCAAAAAGTCCTAATCATTTTGGATTTCTATTTCCTTTAGGAAACTTATCAATATCAATCTCAATCCTACATAATATGAGAATATCTCAATCCCACAAAATATGAGAATTTCTCAATCAATCCCACAAAATATGAGATTTCCTCATGTGGATGATTTTGGATAGCACTAAATCCAATACTAATCACCTCAAAGGAACAACTTCATTAACTTCACAAGCTGAATCACCATATCATTCAGTATACACAACAACAACATGAAATAAAGGGGTAGATTACACTAAGTCGATTTGGTAAGTGTAATCCTCACCACCAAAAAAGATATTTGGCTTTTCAGAGATCCAATTTAAAGCCTTTAAATAACCGAATCCAAACAACCTTAAGAACCCTCCATCAGTGATGGGCATCCCAATACAAGAGATAGGATGCCCCTTCGTGTGGTGGATTAACACCTCAGTTATAAATAACTATTTAAGTGATTTTCTATTTTATCATCTTTTCAGGAGGGTTGGCAACGAGATGGGCTTGGGCCAAGCCAGCCCAGTCCAAGTCATTTTAGGGCACGCCTAGGCTTGACCTGGGCTAAAGGGGCCCTTGCCCAAGCTTGGGTAGGGTCACATTGGGTAGGTCAGGCCCAATAGATTCAAAAGAAAAAAGAGAAAAATAAGACTGGGCCGCGACAACCTTGTAGTGGCCCTAGTCCTGGGCATTGGGCTGTGGTGGCTCGTCCAGACTCAGCCTTTAAGTATATTTTGTGGTCTAGATCCTTGTTTTTGATATTCGAGCTACAAACCAATTACTACTACTTTTCACTTTGTTGAAACTTAAGATTTAAAGAATGGAATTATGCAAAGAAAAAAAGGAAAAAAAGAAAAGAAAAGCGAGACTGAAGAAGACTAGAGAGAAATCCCATCTATCATATTTTCTTGGCTTGATTTGAGTTTGTAACTGTGGGTTCGACTTTGTAATTCCTAATAATGAGTACTTGTAATTTTGTGATTCCTAGTAATGACTACTAAGTTCTAGTTGTTGGATTTGGTGCTATCCAAAATCACCCACATAAAGAAATCTTATATTTTGTGGGATTGATTGATATTGATCCATATTATGTGAGATTGAAATATCCTCATATTATGTGGGATCGCTATTAACCAATTAGATATTATTTAGGAGTTGGTTATTGGGATGAGTTCTATTTGGATTATGATGAACTTGAAGGTCATATTTAAAGAAATAAAGATTAATTTCCCATAAAAGAAGAAATAGAAAGGCTCATCAGGTGAGCCTTTTTTAGTGAGTCTCCTTTCTCTACATAATGAGCTATTTTTAGAGAGAGAAGGTGTGCCCTATTTAGGTCATTATATAGGAATGGTGGTTCTTCTGGAGAAAGATGAAACGTTAACCTCATGTGCATAAGATGCGATTTCTTCTTAGAGAGAAGAAAGATTCTTTTAGATAGAAAAATTGTAATAATGCCTCTTTTAGATTCTTGAAGATTGAAAGACTTGTTTGTTTCATAGAGAAACTGTTCTCATTGATATTTAGGGTGGCTTCCAATTTAGTAAGAGAGAAAGTTAGTTTCTCGTTGCTCTCACGTCTCTATCTGGTGCTGTCGATATTGCCAGAAGTAAAGAGAAGGAATTGAGAGTTGTTTAAAAGAGCTTTCTCGACTTGGGATTTTTGTTGAGGTATGTTCTAAAATCTTTGATGTAACTTTCATTGGTATAGTGGTTTTATGTTTGTTGTGCCTATGGATGTAGCCCTCTTGGGTGAACCACGTAAATCTTTGTGTTTTTGTAAATTTTTGTGTTCTTGTTGTATGTATTTCATGATTTATTTCTCATATTTTATTTGCTAAATATTAACCCATCGAGTTTAGAGCTTCTGTGCACAACAAGTGGTATCAGAGCACAACACTAACTACTTAAATAAGCTATGAGCTAAGGTATCCTTGGTTCGTGTTAAATTGTTTTCCAAAAGATATTTTCATGTAACAAATTCTCTCGTGCGGTTAGGTATGAGGATACTTTCACTCCAATTAACTATCAATTGATATGAAAAGATGCACTGGATCAATTAGTATGCAAATATTTGCTCATTTAACATATGAAAGAGTATTTTTTTTTGGAAAAATTACGTATATATTCGTTATACTTTCCGTTATGATCAAAATACTAAATACTTTTCGTTATTACTGGAATGTCTGTTTTTTTCATTTTATAACGATTTTTTTAAAAAAAGACATTTGTACCCTTTTTCGGTTGATCAACAATCGAAAATGGCCCCGATAGTTTTACGGTTCATCTTTTTTGCTCTCTACGTCTGTGCTATGTGAATGCTTAAAAAAGAGAGTTTTACCCATTTTCGGTCTTTGAACAACCGAAATGGTCTTAATTTCAGATGTTGAACAATCGAAATTAGGACTGTGTATTCTAGCGACCTTTTGGAAACACAGTCCTAATTTCGGTTGTTGAACAACCGAAAATAAGAAATTTTCGGTTGTTCAACATCTGAAAATGTCTTGTTTTCGGTTCTTGAACAATTGATAATAAACATGAGGTTAAAAATTTGAATTGTCATTTTCGGTTGTTCAAGAACCGAAAACAATAAATTTTTGGATGTTAAACAAACGAAAATGTCTTAATTTCGGATGTTGAACAACTGAAATTAGGACTGTTTATTCCTGCAAGCTTCTGGAAAGTGTAGGTCTAATTTCAGTTGTTGAACAACCGAAAGTAGGACATTTTCGGTTGTTCAACATCCGAAAATGTATTTTTTTCGGTTCTTGAACAACCGAAAATAGACATGTTAAATATTTGAATTATCATTTTCGGTTGTTCAAGAACCGAAAACAAAACATTTTCGTTGAATAACAAAAAATGTCTCAATTTAGGATGTTGAAAAATCGAAATTAAGATTGCGTATTCCAGCAAGCTTTTGAAAACACAGTCCTAATTTCGGTTGTTGGACAACCGAAAATGGATAAAACTCTCTTTTTTAAGCATTCACATAGCATAGACGTAGAGAGCAGAAAAAATGAACCGTAAAACTATCAGGGCCATTTTCGGTTGTTAAACAACCGAAATTCTAGCCATTTCGGTTGTTGAACAACAGAAAAGGGGTGAAAATATCTTTTTTAAAAATATCATGAAGTAAAAAAAAAAACATTTCAATAATAATGAAAAGTATTTGGTAATTTGATAATCACAAAATATAACATATATAATGTATATATATATATATATATTAATTTTTTTTTCCTATTGAAGATATTTTTTGGTAAAACATTTACACGCGAACCAAACGTGCTTCGTGTTGTCGTGACGTGAGTCGTGAACCAGGGAAGAACCAAGAAGCCCGTTTGTTGAATCTTCATCGTACATTAGAGAGAGAGAGAGAGAGATTGTAGAGAGAGAAATGGTGGGAATTGCGGCAGCGAACGTAATGTCTCATCTTCTCTCTACAACTACGCATCCTCTTTCTCTCACTACCTTTCACTCAAACTCTTCACTGGTAATGTCCCCAAATCCTCATTATGCTCCCCCTCCCTCTAACATTTCTCTCTCTTTCTCATGACAAACGTTACACAGTTTTTCCTAAATTCACGAGTAATCAGCTGCGTTTATTGATTGATTTTTTATTACCAGGCTCTCAAAATAGGAGGTGGCCGTCGTCTTCTACGTCTCAGGGTTGCTGGTTCTTCACTTGCTGCGGTCTCTGGGAACCTTACTGGTAACTTTCCCTCTCTTCGAAACAATCTTGAGAGAGAGAGAGTGAGATGCTTTTTGTTTTTCAAAGAATTTGAGATCCCCCCGTTTCCTCTCTCTCTAGCTACTTCGAATTTTCAGTCTTTCATATTTATGGTACTGATTTTTAGCTCTTCTAGTTTTTTATTCTTGTGAAATTTGGGTGGTTTCATTTTTTACCTCGAATGAGTTTCCTTTTTGAATTATCGGAACCTCTCTATCTCTCGACTTCTATTCTTTGGAATTTTGTTTATTGGCATAGTATCTCTGCTCAATTTCTTCTCCTTTTGTATCTGGAAATAAAGGAAGTTATGATCCTGAACTTCGATCCGTGCTTGAATTGGCAACCGATTCAGAACTATACGAATTGGAGGGCATTCTTTTTGGTCCAAGGTGGGTTCTCAGAACACCATATTTAAATTTCTTTTGGTTTTTTTCTCGTTTACTTATAATGAACGCACCGATTTGCTGCATGTAACCTGGATAAATAAAATCACGAATGGGACTGGAAAACTGTTATTAGATAAAATTTAAAATCAATGGAAGTATTCCGCAAGTTGCCCATTCAAATAAAAATCATTTACTTCTTTGTACTTCCCTTTTGTCTTTTCCATCGCTTTTGAATTAATGATAGAAAGTTACTTATCAAGTTCTGCACTCTTATGCTCGGTATATGAGGTAAATCATGTGTGTGCATTTATCTGTGCTGAACTGGTTTTAGTTCTGTTATATATTATCAAATTCTCAAAGTTAAACCTGTAATGGGAAGTAGAAAATCATTCTAACAAGAAGTAACATTTTAGAAATGAATTTTGGATGGTATTATTATTACTTTTTTATAGATACTTTGTGAAAGTGAGAAATTTTTCATGAGATGAATGAAACTAAAGAAAGAGAAATTTGCAGGGTTTGTGATCGATTTATCTTCTCTCATTGATTTACAGCTACTTTAGTCCTTTAATAAAATCAATTGCAAATGGAGGTGGAGCCGATGGTTTTGTGCTTGGAGAAGACCAAGATGCAAGGGAAGAATTAATAGATATACTTGAGTCTAGATTCTTGTTTCTAGCAGCCGATGCCAAATCTACATTAAGGTAAATAGCCACTCTCTGTATGGAACGCTTGCATTGTTAACCTTTTGTAGTTTTTGATTCATATATATTGATTCGCTTTGGCAATCTTCTGAATGTAGAGCTTCATGGTTTTTTTTCAAGTTTTTGGGTCTACAACATTGTTATTGTTTACCATAAATAATTGGATGATTTCTGATTTGTTTTTTTGTTTAACTGTTCTTTGTTTATGGAAGGGGTTGGAGGCCTTCATATAGAAATGTCTTGCTTGGTGTGAGGAGAAAGCTAAATGTTCCTTGTTCTAATAAATTATCAACAGAGGATTTGGAGGCAGAGATATTTCTTCATTTATTGCAAGAATATGTGAGGTAATAGGTTATAAACCCATTTCAAGGATAACTTCTAAAAAGTCTTGCTTGTTTATCGGAAAAGATTACTGGGTCTCTTTATTGGCCATGCGCTGAAGTCAAGATTGCTTGCCCTTGCTACAATTCTGAGGTTTGGTTGATGTTTATGTGGTAGCTTTTACATTCCCAGATATATTGTCGTAATGAGAACGTGCCATATTTGTAACAGCCTCCACCATTAACTTCCTTTTCACTTAGCTATAAATGTATCAACTCACAACTCATATATGTAATTTGTTCTTAGAATTACTCTTGGATGCGTTATATCATTTTCTTTGGATTATTAAGGAAATTTATTATTATGATATTATAACACTTTCACTTATGCAAGTAACAGTACGCTTTGTTTTTGGTCCCCTCATTTATATGATGGATTTAGTGGAAATTCACAATTTGTCTCATCTGCAGTGAAGATGCAGAGGTGAACTCTCTCCCTTGGGATGACCCTAAATTTTCCAATATTCGTCCTGATGGCCCTTGGCGGCGTGGGCTAAGTCAGTTGAAGCTGCAGTTGCTTGCTGCATTGAAAGTTGGAGCTGAGGAGCTTACTTCAACGATGTTGAAGGTTGGGTTTGTCTTGTGCTCATAACTGGACTCTAAAATTTGTTCTATTGATTCATTTATCAAATCTGCTGACTATATTGATGTCTTTAAAAATAGGGAGGTGGAGTTCTGACATTCGCGAAGATTTCTCAGTTGGTAAGCAGAAAGGCGATACAATTTGGTTCATGTTATAACTTTTTGTTATTGATATGATATGATGCACCTTCCTTGCTAGTTAGCAAGGAGATTATCTGGAAAGATGCTAATGGAGGCTGCCAACTATCAGATAAAACAAGAAATTATCAAGAAGGTATCCTGAACGGTAGAGATTGAGTATGCCATATTTCTATTTGTGTTTCTTTACAAATAATTTGGGCAGTATATGTTATTTGGACACACTTTATGGTTTCACTATCTTTTAATTGTTATGTGTGAATTTTTCCTTATTTTCTGATCCGCTGACCTACCTAATTGCATGTCTATGTTTAATGTCGTGCATTTCAAGCTTGCTTTTAGGGACATCCTTTGTTGGCCATGGGGGTATTTTTAAGCCAACAAAAAAAAAAAAATTTATTACTAGTTTGGAATATGGAAATGTAGTCCTTTTTCATCGATGATTGGAAGTGACAACTCACTTTGTTTGGAGGTTATTTTGTGGCTGCTCTTTAGTTATGTATGATTTGAACTTGATATAGTCTGCTCTCTCTTTGACCACTAATTATTGTAATCGAAATGGACTGGCCATTGATGATTCCTATTTCCTTTAGGGTGGACAATTGGCAGCTGTTAACTTAGAGTCTAGATTGGCACTGCTTGCTGCAAGACAGGTGATTCTGCTACCTTCAATCTTTTACTGTCTGGCGTGGGGTTTGACACACACACACACACAAAAAAAAAACATATACATCCACAGGCATCCATCCACACACAGGGACACACACATATATCTTTTATTTTTTTTTGTGAAACTTTTAACATTCAGGCACACATACATGATTTTTGTATTGATGTTTAAAGGCTTTTATATTATACTTTGTTTTTTATTGATCAGGCTTTCTTATATTCATATGCATATACATATATACATACATACATACATACTTACATACATATCCATGCACATTTGTGCATGCGTGCGCATGCTGTGTGCATGCAGGGAGGGGGAAAGGGAGAGAGGAGGGATATATGATAATGTAATACAAACTAGCATTCTGACATTTATGATCTAGTTAACTGGTGTTCAAGTATTGATGCTTTGTCCTAATTAAAGTGTCTTTTGTTTCTTTGACGAGTCAGGGCGTTGCTTGTGCGGCATCAAGGTACCTTGGGCTTCGCAGCTTGATGATGTTACTTGGTCCAGTGTATGGCTCTGTTCTTCTATATTCACAATTTAACACAACATAAATCTTGGCATGGAATAGACTCAACAGGCTGGTGAATGGCGTTTTGTAGTTGTTCTTTTTGATGTGATGTGCTCAGATAGACCCTTGTTCTGTTAATGCTTTGTTACAGCTAAAGAAACAACTTAATAGTTTTGATATGTCTATGTTTAGATTGCAGTATATATGTTATCTAATAATGTTTATTTCGAGAATGGTTGTTGTGAAATAGTTTAAGGTGGCTATTGGCTTTTAATCCACATGCTCCTTGATGAAGAAAAAGCTCGGCCTCCATTGTTCACATGATTCATCAAAATGCAAGACATCATTGTGATAAACTTTTCATATTGCATGCTGATCTATGTGCTTAAGCTCTCTAAACTAGTGAGATTTTGTGCACATTTGTTTTTGTAAAGTGCATTCCATGGATGTGAACCCTGTGTTATATGTGGATGAAGTGAGTGTATGTATCATGCATATTTTCTTGGACTTACATGATGCACCTTTTGGTTAGTATATATAAGGTGATTGTAATATAAGAGGTCTCCCGTGCATCATGTTACATATTTTTTGATGTGGTATTTTGTGCTCATATGATTCGTGTAATATGGTCCAAGAAGGGTGAAGACTTTAAACTTTCCCTTAACCCATTCCAAGCCTGGGTAAAGGAGGTGGGTTGTGTTAGGTAGGCAGCCAACGTAGAGCTTTGCCAAAACTTTTCCACGATTCATGCAATAGATTTAGTGTGCTTGTAAGAGATGTACATGCATGTAGAAAGGTGTCCCACATATGCTACTCCTATTAGTATTGAGGAATGAAATTTCATGTGCTTGTGCAGTTGGTATCCACTTGGTGTCCTTCCAGAGTACTAGATGTAAATCGGATAGGCAACACTTTAGGAACCACTAGGGTTTCAGCTTGTCAAGCATAGGAAAACACTGTTGTGGGAAGTTCGCATTGTGGCCATATGGCAATTGGATATAAGGTTAGTGGAATAAATGATTTGGCTTCATATAAAGTACTCCATGCATATGCGATGTTGCATATTTACATTCATTCTGGCTCTCGGTCAAACATTATCTGCAATATCCTGAGATGCACACCAATATACAAAATAGTCAGACTCTCTTTTATAGGGTGATTGGTTCTGAAAAGGTTCCTGGCAAGGAGTGCAACAAAGACTTTACATGACAATCCTCATAATATCAGATGAACATTCTAGGCTGTCTACCTACTTTTTCACGTAACAATTCTATGAATTTATTCACTGCACATTTTGTGGTCAAGTTTTAAGTTGACATGAATACATGCTTGGTTCTTGGCTTGACATTGATGTTATTATGTAATTCATATTATGGAAAGTATTTCTAATCCCTTTTTTTCAACTTTTTAGGGCTAACATATAAAATATGGTATTTTTAGTTACCAAGAAAAGAAAAATTCTATTACATAAGAAAGAATATCAACATCAGTGTTTTTGATGCTGCATAGTCATATTTGAGGTGCTTCTGAGAAGTCTGTACCAGCCGATTAAAGGGAATCATTCTGCTGGGTTTATGCAGGCTCTGGGGAACTTTTCTAGCTGATGTTGTTATTCAAATGATTGGCACGGACTATTCAAGGATCTTACGAGCTATTTATGCATTTGCCCAGGTCATGTGATATTCTTTAAGGAAATTTTATATGGTACCTGAAACATCTGCATGGATCATGCAGGCGGTTCAGATGCTTAAATGTCAGGAGAGTATCTGTACATGTCAAATATTTTTGGGTGACTACATCCACCATTTTACCTTTCTGACCTCCCTTACAGTTATGTACCTCAGATGGAGAGTATAGTAGTCTTCAGAAAATAATTGACATATCAAAGTTGTCTTAGCAATTGTAATTTTTTACCGCCTGCATGATCAATGCATGTCCCCCAGTTACTCTGCTTGATATTTTCTCATATTGCAATTGTAACAATGGTTTTAAAACTCTTGGACTCGGCAAGGTGCTGAGTATGAGTTGGAACCGGCCAAACTTGGCTGGTCGATACCTAATTTTTGGATTCTATAAGTTGTACAGACTCGGTCGAATCTGTACGGATGACTCAGACTGGGCGACCCTGCTGAGTCCCGAGTCTGAGCCTTGTTTCTGAACATTGATTGCTACTGCAAGGCCCTTACATGAATATGAAGGTGCTACATAGATTTGAGAAATGCTATTTGATTTCCCAATCATAGCTGATTCTTATTCAACAGATCCGTCTTACTCGTACATATGGGTGGACATCGAGCAAAAAATCTATAGCACGTTATCACTAAGGATTTGGACTGTGAGCTTACTAAAGTATCAGACCCTCATCATTATACTTTTGGCAAGGTCAGGAGTTCAGTTGTGTGTGCTTCCTGTGAGAATCATTCATGACTACCATGTTATTTTCTCCTTTTGCCAAATTATGTATTCTTTTCCTTGTATTGTTTTGAACAAGCATTAATTCGTTAACATGTCATTTTCTCCTCTCTTGGTTTCGTGATTTGTTTTGAATAACTTATAATTCATTTATGGAAATACTCTGGGAAAAGACCAAGCCAGATGTGTCCCCTAAGCACTGGACGGTTGGTTTTTAGTAAATGTTGAGGATCTTTCTCATACTATATATCCAGGATAAGGAATTTTGCTTCTTTTCTTTTTCTTTTTAAAGAATTCTTTTGTATGATGATCCCTTGGGATTTCTATATTCAAATTTCTCTGTATTTACAGCGGTAATATCAATCTTTGAAGTAGGGTTGTTTCATGTGATGTGTGGCTGCCATTGACCCTGTATAGGAACAAGAACAAACTGAAATTTAGCGGAAAGGTACACCGTACATGACTGGGTTGACCTCAGAGAGAGAGAGAGAGAGAGAGAGAGAGAGAGAGAGAGGCGAGTGTGTAGTTCGTTGTTCGTTGTACGTAACTACGTCCGTCGTAGTAAGTAAGTAATTAACTAATAGTACGAACGTAACGTAGTAGGTAAGGTA